ACAGGGTGCTAATAAAGAACTTTTATTTTACAATCTCTATTTTGCTACAACACAAAGCTCTTTTTGAAGATTTGAAAAAGATTTAACTTTCATAGAAGAACTTAGTGAGATGGATATTTGAGGCTGGGTTTCGTATTGCCAACAACAAGTAACAGAAATTGTTGGTGGAGAAACTGACTGCTCTAATGATCAGATATTATTAAATAATTTTATTAGAGGTGTCCTCATCTGATCTCAATGATCAGTATCGGGGCCAATCAAGGCATTTTTTTAACTGATCAGAATTAGCTATATATATTGATCTATATATAGCCTGATCTGATAACTTATTTTATGTCGGCTGGTGTTTTCACTCTTGAGCTTTCATGAACATAAGCGCAGCCGCTGTCGACTCCCCAGCTCTTCGCAGAGCTTCAGTGCATGTGTAAGAAGAGGGGCTGAACCCCGCCTGCAGCAAAACATCACACCCACACGCCATAAACCAGAGTAAAATTCAGTATGAGACTATTCATTCATGTTAATTACCAGCACCGACCTCCGTCATTTAAGGTAAATGAAACACATTCTCTGGTGTTTTCATCAGTTAACAAGACAACAATAATCATTTTACAATGACAATGACAATTTTTTAAGCACGAGCAATTTCTTGTTATCACATGACAACCTCCTTCTTTCACACCTTCAAACCTTTTGTTGTTTAACATTGTCCTTTAGATCACTTGAAGGTGATGTGTCAGCTCTGTTATTCTGGCTCCATGAATTACATTTGTTTCATCGGTTTATAACTCTGTTATGTCAGCATCCTTCACAGTTCATCCCTCTATCTCTTCTTCTCATTGCTGTCAGTTTTTCATCCTATCATTTCTTATTGATTTACACATGTACTATCCAAGTAAGTCAGTCAGTCATTTCTTACTTTCTATCCCCACAAAAATCCCTTCATCTACCCATGAGCACTGGTACTTTATATTAACTATAAGAGGACATTTGTTTATTCAGTGACAAGACACACTCTAATGTGAAGTCTGTCAGGATGGAAAATGGAAAATCTGTCATGCATAACCTCCCAAAGACAGTTTTATCTTTCATCGCTTCAACTCCAGCAGACAGCAAGACAAAAGTCTCTTCGCTCTGAATAAAAACAGAGATCAGATGGTGACAGATTTAGATTTCCACTAGGTTTGTGTCACATAATATTTATCCCTCTATACATTTATGTGTAGACATTCTGTATCCAATAAAAACAGATATTCTGACAGTATCTTGGGTAAGGAATCAAACAGACAGACAGACAGACAGACAGACAGAGCACCACTGAGAGCTAAGAAAAGAGAGGTGAGACATGGTGGATGGACGGAGGAGGCAGCGAGAGTAATAACAGTCTGTAAGAGAGAAATTAACAGTAACAGCACAGGTTTGAAGGCAGGCAGGTCAGAGTAACTGCTGTCAGCCTCTTCAGCTTCACACACACAGTCTGACTGTGTAAGATACTCTATAATGTTATTTACCGTGCTGTCACTTTAATCACATGCATTTCTGTCATACAGCACCTTCATATTATCATTTTTATGATCACACATTTTTAGCTTTGGTCCAAAAAAAAAAGTAGATCTGATCTCTTCTTAAAGGCCTGAACGATAAACAACAATAGTGTTTTATACATATGACCCAGGAAAACCCGTTGGTGACACCTGGTCACGCCTCTCTGCATTTGATACCAACACGCAAGGCACCATTTATTGTCTGCATGAGAAGCACTGGACTTTCAAATAACTCTAATGCCAACCCATCTGCTGATGCCCCGAGCAACTGAGGTAGCATAAAGAGTGAGAAAGTCTTTGGAAGGATGTCAGGGTGGATAGATCAAACGCACACAGGACAAACACAGGACTTTCACCTAGGAGATCGCTGTTCCTGTCTCATGTAAAACCAAAAGTCAGCGTCATTTAACCGATCCATCAATCTTTTCCTAAACCTAACCAAGTATGTTAAGGAAAAGCTTAAAGTCCAGTTCAGACCAAAGATTCACGACAAGATAAAACCGTTGGACATGAGTCAGGATTGGGACGGGACAAGAGTCAAAATCCATTCCTGTGTTACCCTCTAGTTGGGAACGAGAACATGTTCCTCATTGTTTCCACCACTGTTATTGGCTCTAAGACAAAGCACAATGAAGTAATGTTTATTTGTTTTTCAGAATAAAAAGTGACTCAATTGTTAGTTAATCAGTGGTGAGCATTTATTGCTCCAACTTGAAATATTTAGTAAATGACCCTGATCACATTAACTGAGTTCACACAACGATGGAGATCTTTTGTTTTTATAAAAGCAGAACGTATGTTTATAAAGGATGTTTCATCTATCAGTCAGGCAAAAGTACCGTAAGCATGTAATTTGTCTGTGAAGATTCTCAGTCATCCAGGTCATGGTAATCGTAAGGGCTATATCGTAGGCAACTGGACTTGCTTGTGTTTCTTGATGATGTTTTGCCTCTCATCCAAGAAGCGGTGGACAGCCGAGTCTTGACCCGAGGAACCACTCCACAAGCGCATGGCACAACACAACACAGGAGAGCCAGCTCCTCTGGTCAAGACTCGGCTGTCCACTTACATCTACAGGAGAAGGGACACTCCTTTGAGGACAGCAATGTGCACATGTTGGTCAGGGAGGAAAGATGGTTTGAAAGAGGGGTAAAATAAGCCATCTACGTCAAGCTGGAACGACCATCGTTAAACAGAGGGGGTGGCTTACGACACTACTTATCCCCCACCTACAATGCAGTCTTGGGATCCCCCCCCCAGACGACTTCACGCCCATTCACACCTGGACCCACCTGACCCTAACGGCTCACATGGTGGCCAGATGGGTCAACGACTCACATTGTGACCTTAACAACTCTGAAACTAAGAGCTCACGTGACCCCTACGACTCTGCAAGGGTTCCCACCCATACTGTTTATAGCCTGCAACTTCGTACCAGTCATTTAGAACTGAAGAAGCTTCTTAGATGAGAGGCGAAACGTCTTCAAGAAAAGCAAGCAAATCCAGTTGCCTACAACATAGCACTAACGATAAGCATGTAATGTATATTGTGAATGTAAATGAATTCAACCCCATAAGTCCGTCTGTAAGGAAACTAAACTTTCTCAACTTTTTCGTTTTGACTGTCAGCAGGTTTAAATAAACCAAACAAATGGAAAAGGAAACAGAAAGGTAAAGAGGAGAAGATTCAAGCTGTTGCAAAAACCTTGAAAACAAAACCTAGACACAAAGAGAGAAAGACACAACCTGCGGCACATCTTCAGCTCTTCACTACTGTGTCTGAAACGTCTTTTGACACTTGATTAAACTGCAAAACACACAGAACCTCACACAAGCACATACACACTGCTTGGAGGAGGATAGCACAAAGTGAAACTCAGACAGACTTAATGGCATCGTTCCATGTGTAGAGTGAGGACGTAACACTGCGGGCTTCTCAACAGAAATACAAGAAGTGCTTCAAGCTAACGGGGGACACTTTACATATCTGAGGGAAAGCTGAACGCAAAGGATTCAGTGTTTCCTTCCTATTCTATGAAATGTTGCAATGCAGCTGTCTCTCTGTTGAAATGTTAGCTTGTCAGCTGCAGGTGAGTGAAAACACCACATGCCACAGTGACATAATGTGCACATAAAGTGGACTTTCAAAGCTGCTGTCACTGCAAACATGACTAAACCAGCTGGATTATAACAAGACAATCCCCAGAGTAAATGTTTGCATTTTATATCTCTGCAAACCACAGATATGTTACGTAACGTTTGCATGTTATTATGTAGCTGATACGCTGAAACTTTACATTTCAACAGCACTGTAGTTAATGTGTGGTTAGCTTTAGACACAAAATCCACTTGGTTATTGTGAGGAAAAGATCATATTTAGGCTTAAACTACAGTTACCACCTTGTGGACGTACGCCTCTGCAAACCAGTCAAGTTGCACTTAACAGTTTACATCTATGTTTGTGAAAACATGGATGCTTCACACACATCTTGCACCCAGCAGCACAGAAGATCGATACAATCAGCACAGTTTCAAGGTGGACATCCAAGTGTCACGGATTCAGTATCTGACCAAATGTGTCCCCTTCTGTTTCTGAAATATGACAGTGAGTAATGGCCAGAAAAGGGTTTCTGCAGAACATTATGATGTCACAGTGAAGTTGACCTTTGACCCTTTGGATATAAAATGTTCTCACTTCATAATTTTATGCAATGAGACATTTGTGTGAAATTTCTTCTTAATTAGTGTATGAATTCCTGAATTGTGGCCGAAACATGTTTTGTAAGGTCATAGTGACCTTTGACCTTCGACCTCCATATTCTAATGATTTAATTCTTGAGCCCAATTTGACATTTGTGTCAAATTTGAGAAAACTTCCTGAGGGCCTTGTTGAGATATTGTATTCACAAGAATGAGATTGATTCAAGGTCACACTGACCTTGAACTTTGACCACCAAAATGTAATCAGTTCATTGTTAAGTGAACGTTTTTGCCAAATTTGAAGAAATTCCCTCACGGTGTTCTTGAGATATTGCATTCACAAGAATGACACAGACAAGGCCACAGTGACCTTGACCTTTGACCTATGACCTCCAAATCTAGTCAGATTATATATGGGTCCAAGTGGACGTTTGTGCCAAATTTAATGAAATTCCCATGAGGCTTTCTTGAGACATGGTGTTCACAGATGGGATGGACAGACGTTACATCATTACAAATAATGATGTTTATGCTGAATATCAAACTCCATCCTTTATGATAAAATTCATAATAACACGAGTCTTGTGCAGGTTATTCTTTTGAAGATTAATGAAATTTAACAGCTTCAGTGTGTCTGGTTGACTCAGTCTGTTGAGCTTGGCTCTTCTGCCTCAATGCACGATGTAGCAAAGCACAGCAAACAAAACAAACTGCAGTGGCACACGACACACTTACAGAAAAATATAACGTGCTGCTTACCACATAGAGCTGTTTCCATAGTAAGGCCCATTCCTGCAGTGTTGACGTCACCTCAGTAACTATGGGGTCTTCAAGAGGCACCACAGTCTCATGTGGCCTGTGCAGAGATAAAACAGAAACACACACACGATTTATTCACAGCCACTGAGGTGAATCATTATTTACAAACAGGATTTTAATATGCATGAATACAAGACAATTAAAGACAGAAACATAAATGCATTAAACATTAAGTACTGAACAGAACAGAGAGAAACACCCGATTGAGTTTTGTGGCCGAAGACCTCACTCTGCTGTGTTGTATTACAGTTGCAGCCCGAACATATGCTGCGATCTGAATGCTTGGTGCACCACAGTCATATTTAGTTTTGCTGCCTGATTAGTGTGCACTCACCCATCACCATATTTCTGACCTAGAAAATAGACAGTGTGTTTCCTTTATCTAATTTTGTGTTGAATATCTACAATATTAGAAAAAGAAAAGCATCAAAATGTTAATACAAACTCAGCACCTATGGCCTCCTGAGAGAGGGATTTTTGTTTGGTTCACATTTTTGATTTATCCTAGCTATTTGGGATTAGTAGGACCTGATATGTATAAAAAACTAAACATTGTCAGCGATAATAAAGTCCCTATATCCTCAAACCAGACGATAATAAAGTCTCAATGTCCTTCAGCGAGCTGCTGATAAATTTCTTATGTCTCCAAATGAGTATTTTTTAATTAACAGCGTCTTAACCTTGTCACCATTGGTGAAATCTGTTGGCTTATCAAACTACGAATGTTATTAACCATAAATAAACAAGTTTCAACCATCAGATTTGATCAGGTTTTGGACCTTGTCAACTTTTGTGTCCGGATCAGCTGCAGACTGACTTGGCAGAGATGGCTGCCATCTTGTTTTTACATGGATTAGTGTATTGTGGTTTGACTTCCACTAGATGGCACAAAATAGTGTCCATGAACGAGGACAACAGGTCTGAGTGAAGCAGAATGTAATAAGGTCCAGTAAACCCAAAATGTGATGTCCTCATGAGGACACAGGGTCTCAGATAGAGACAACAAACCTGATAAGACTTCTTCCACAGAGAACTCGTTACGTGCCAAAGTGAGCAAACTGGCAAACTGCTGCAGCACTTGAAAACAAAGACCTCACTTCACCTCACTGACTTGAGAAATAATTGTGCGCTCCCTCTCTCGTTCCTCTCCTCCCTCCCTTACACATCATTTTGAACATCGTTGTTCACTAAAATTGAAAGCTGAGTCACTGTCTCAGCCCTGGAGTCAGGAATATTAGAGTACCTCTCTTCTCCTCCCTCCCCGACTCTCCCTTTTTACTCTGCCTCTCATGTATTCTCTCCTTTCTCTGGTTTTCCCTCTCTCTGTCTCATAACTGATTAATTAATAAAAGCAGTGTGCTAGATTAGCTGATCTCCCAGTGGAGCTGTGGCTGGCGACCGCCTGGTGATTTCACCCACATTAGTTACACTTGTATCTCAGGCACTTCTCCTCCTCTTCTCCTCTGTTCTACTTTTCACTCAGTCTAAACGCTCCCTCCTTTTTCCCTCCCTCCTCCTGTTTCCCTTTTACTTCCCTGCCTCCCATTGTTCCTCCTCAGGTTTTCTCTTTGTTCTGGCACATTTCCATCATTCCTCCCAGTTTCTGCTCTGCTCTTCTTCTCCCTCACTAATATTACATTTCTTTCTTTACTCTCTCCTCCCATCTACTCTTTTAAGACCTTTTCCCTTTTACACCTCTCTTTCCTTTCCTCCAGCACTTTCCCCTTCTTCTCTCTTTTCCTCCACCTCTTTCTTCTGGGGCTGCACGATTATGGCCAGAATAATAATCACAATTATTTTCAATATTGAGATCACAGTTATTTCTTATGATATTCATTGTTTCTAGGGACAAAATATTTTCATTGCAATTTCACATTTCAATAAACAGAGCACACTTTCATGTTGTGCTACATTCTTACTATTGTACTAATGTTTCCATTAAAGTAAGACCTAAAATAAGGTTCTTCTTCATCTGAATTCAGTGAAAGTTTTTTGTTTTTTTCATCTTACATAGGTCATGTTACTGTGACGTGCTGCAGTGTCGCAGTGGATGTCTGAGTTACGCTGGACAAGGACGGGATTAATGGTAACAGTGGGTGTGGTTACATGATGGCTTCTCATTCAGAATGAAATAAATCTGAATGAAATCATTCGGAATTAAAGTTTTTCCAGGTAGTTTACATGAGAAATATTCATTCTGAATGATGGTTTACACGGAGATCAGTTTAATCGCCTTTTAATCGCCTGTATTCAGGTCTGCACAAGGTTTGGGGCAGGGAAGGTTTCTGATTGGCTGGGCAGATGTTACGTGTTTACGTTTATTGGAAGAAAACACTGTAGTCCTCGCTCCAGATAACAAGATGCTTGACGATGCCGTTCTTAGTGCCTTTTTCAGGCTTGTTTTGCTTATATTCTTGAAGCAGCAGCACGACAACAACCTTGTTCTGCTAATGCTTCGTCTGTTGAGGAGGAGAAGGGAGGCAGAAGGTCGAAGAAGGGAGATAGATGACCACGACCACCGTTGCAGCAGGAGTTGCAACAACTGTCGTTGACACACCATTGGAGCACTAACGAACCATTGACATCATTGGCCTTGTGAAGTCCTTCTCAGAGGTTAAATACCTGGGTGCTTACACACCAGTTTGTCAGACTAGTTCCAGCCTAGTCAGACAAGCATGAACTGATGAAGCCTCTTGGATAAGAGATGAAACGTCTTCTAAGACTAAACTAAGTCCAGTTGTGTTTGATTCAATTGCCTTGAGATACTTTGTCAAATCAGTGTTATCTCAGTGATCATAAAACTGTCAGACAAATAGGCAGACAAACATGTACAGTTCGACTGTTTATTATAAAATAACAGACTTGAATTAAAATGTTCTTTTCTTCTTTTTTTTTTTTTTGGTGTTATCTGAAGACATGACATCAGTCAGCCTATTGCTCTCTTTCTTTCTCTCCCCTTGTTGCAAATCCAACAACCACCAACTTTCACTCAGGAGGCCGGTGTTCGGCTCCCATATCATTATAAAGCTATGCCCGTTCCTTTTTCCTAAATCCAAACATGTGCTTTTGTTGTTGAAGGAAAAAAACATCAATTTGTGGTGTTGTACCAACGTCCTGCATTTATTCTGAAAGAAACTGTATGCAAACTGTACATTTCCTGTGAAAACAGGAGTGTATTTTGAAAACAGACAATGCATGTAACAGGCTGAAGTTGACACGGCGTCCCAGAACGCAACAACCAACACACCCAGGGTACCTTGGACGTTATATGTGGACGTGGAAAGTCCATGACCAAACGTCGATATGTGACGAGGTCAGAGTGAGAATGTGTTGCACTACTCGGTCAATACTCAGCTTTGCTACGGAACATCAATTTGACTCAGAAAGCAGTGACGTTACCACCACGCTGCTGAGAAATGTAGTGAAGTTAGTAACGTTGCTACTTGTGGTGACACTACTGCCCAACACTGGTTGAAGTTATTCGTCTCGGTCTTCATGTTTTCATCGTACTGCAGATTGTGATGTTTTTCAGGTGTTTAACAATTTAAGCCTAGTTCACATTACACGATTTTCACCGCGATTTGGACGTCGCAGAGGATCTTGAGAGCCACCTTGGGTCGGAGGTGAGTCAGCAGATAGTCTGCCACGACGAGTCCTCATGTGTGAACAAGCCTACGAGCAAGTCGCCCCCTCGTCTGTGACTGGGACTGGATATCTGGCATGCTAGAAAACTGGAGAAGTGTGACACGACTGACAAAGAGCATCAGCCAATGAGAGGTGGGATACGTCCCAAGTCAGCACGCAGGAGGACGGAAGACATTTGAGGAGGACAAGCCGCAGGGTTGCCAGGTCCGCTTATTAGCCGTGACTTTGGGCTTGTTACTGAAGTGGAGTTGCTTATTTGGGCTTGCTCTCTAAATGTCACCTTCCTCTATATATATCTCCGTCTAATAAGTTACTTAAACGCATGATAGTCGTTTCTTTTGGGCTTGTTTCCATAGCCCTGGTTGCTTGTTTCTCTCCCAAGATCTGGCAACACTGACAAGCCGGCAAGCAACAACAACAATGGCGGCGTCCACAGGATCACGGGGAGCGCGTTGTGTTTGGACCCAGGCCCTGGAGGCAGATCTGATTCAACACTGGGAAGAATATCCATGCCTTTGCCATGTGTCGTCTCCAAGTTTGGTGACGTCACCGCGTTATCTGGGGCTCTGTCAGCGAGGGCTCGGTGGAGAAATCTTGTGGTGTGCACACACAGGTCGTAACGCAGTTGGCGAGACTCCCGCTGACAGAAACACACGCCGCCAGGTATGAACACTCAAAAGATTACGATAGTCTCCACGATGCACAATCAGGGTGAAAATCATATAATGTGAACTAGACTTAAGTTGCGTTGCTTAGCATGTAGACACAAGTGTCATACATTTTTTTTACAGTTGATGAACTCTAAGTCTGAAATACTTTCAAACAGCAGATGATGACGGATGATTTTCATTTTTAGCCCGTCTGCAGTTGCAATATTCAGGAAAGTTTTTCACAGGCTGCTGCTGCAGGGTTCACACACGGCCGCATGACAGCTCCTCAAAGGTGGAGGCTGCTGTTAGTTAAGGAAATGTTTGATTTGAATATACATCAGAGTTTTCTATGAGCAACAATATTGCAGTTGATCATTTAATCGTGGGAAACCAGAATCATGATCGTGATTAACATTCTATTAACTGTGCAGCCCTCCTCTCTTCTCCCTTCTTCCTTCTCAGCCCTCATCTACACCTCCTTCCCCTCTCTGCACTCTTCTCCCACTCAGCTTCAGCCTTCTTCATCTTTCAACTTCTATGACCTTTCTCTCATCTAGTCTTTATTCTTCTTAAGTGCAAATGTGTGTCCATATTTACTGCAAGTCTCTTCTCTCTCATCTTCCTGTCTCTGCTCCAAGCTGACATTTCTGTCCTCCATCAGTCTGAAGCGTCTTTTGCACCATCCTAATATTTCAATCTCCTCCACCCCAACTTTCTCTTCTGCAGTGGTTTCATTATGCTA